CTAAAGAGAACTATGATACCTCTTACAAGTTAGTGTGTATGTACCTACTTAACCATATTTTGGGGACAAATTTTTACCCAAAAGTGAGCAAAGCATGACAAAATCGGCAAAAAACTCAGTTTGTGGATGTCCTCATTTGTAAAACTGTTAAAATAAAGTAAACAAAGTTTTTTTTTTTACTTTTGAAATTGTAAAAATGCAGAAAGTTTTCTGTGAGGGTTAGGGTTAGGGGTGGGGTTAGGTTAGGTTAAAAAGTGTATAACTATCTGTATATAAAAACAATAGTCTATGTAATGTCCCCATTTAGATAGCGAAGTAAACGTGTGTGTGTGTGTGTGTGTGTGTGTGTGTGTGTGAGAAATAGTATATCAGTCTGGCGAGTAAACAAAAAAATTTACTAGCCAATGGCAATTATATTGCCAAGGTGTGCGTAGAGGGTTGCAACAGCACTGCGAAAACATTTTCCAGAGAAATAAATCATCTCAAGTATCTCCTTATGCAACCCATCTGCGAACAGGATTTTTAGAAAACCGTTACAATTGATAAATGAATGTCATACTTAGAGTATTGTTAATGAGCAAACGCTGAAAGGTATTCAGCGGTAATTGAGATTATTAAGCATTTTCTAATTATGGGCAAAATGCATTACTGGTAGACCTCTAATTATAAGCAATAATATATAAAGTTTAAAGAAGAAAGCAGCAAAGAGTTTTAAAACCACTGGCAAAGGCATGTAGCTTCATGTAGCTGATGAACAAAATATTTTACCCCCATCACACATCCCATAAAAGACGGACTTCACAGTGCAGACCCTTCTCTGTTTATGTCAAACCCTTTTAAATCACATACCCAGAGACACAGACGCAACTGGGCTCTCAAGGGGTATGCAGGGCAAGATAAATATTTCAAGCGTTTAGGAGCACTAAAAGTCAAAACCAAGAAACAAATTGAACTAACTTCTGGCTGCACATTCCCCACTGGTATGACTAGGTCATGAACCTCTGTAATCCAGATCACATAAGAATAATGAATTATGAAGTGAATGATGACAGATATCGGAGCATTATGCCCGTATAAAAAGAGTTTATATAAGAAAAAGGGTGTTGTCGCAAATTAAATGTCACAAAAATTAAACTTTTTGCCTAATGCTGGGGCATGTAGCAAATCAGCACTTCTCGCCTACGAGGAAGT